AAAATAACGATGACATTGGTTACATAAGCGCAAATGCATGCACAGGCGGTGGGTGGCGGTTTTTGGGAGGCGTGGTAGCCAAGTGGGCGTGTCATCCTTTTCTGCCCCTGCTTGCACATTTTTCTTTTGGTTCAGGCACTGCTGGCACGACTGCTCGTAATTGGAGCATGGAATAACACTCTTCATGTTATGACATTTTTTCGCCAACAGCGAATTAATTTTACACCGCGGGAAATGGTTGTCCAAGTTAAAATTCACAAGTTCCAACTCTACAAGCTTAAGGTAATGACTGTCAATTAGATTTATGGAATATCAATGAAAATGAAGAGTAATTTTCGAAAACCACTCCCTTTTTTCGCCGTGTATTTGCCTGGCCTGCGGCTCACAGAGTGCATGAGTAAAGGAGAGTGGGGGCAACGGGTTACCCACCACGATGTTGTGGTTTTGGTTGCGCCACCCACCTCTCACCTCTTATTCATCACCTGCCCCCTCTGGCCACAAGCAAAGCAACCCGTTAAGCAGCAACAGCGGCATTAGGAAAAAAAAATAAAGGAAAAAAATGAAAACGGCGACGCCAAGGTTACGCGCTACCTGAAAATGAGGCACACTCAAACACCCAGAAAATCCAGGACACCTCGCCATCCATCCACACCCACTTTCCAAGGAGCCGTAGTAGGTTCCGTAAATTGCGACTACATCCTGCTCCTGTTGCTCCCTGCTCGGTGCACCCTGCCCTTTTGTTACATTCTTATATTGCGACTTCGAGGCCGCAAGTTGGGCGACTTTAAAGACCGTTTACGGGCAAATGGCGGGTTGAACGGTCACATTCATGCTTTTCATATCTAACCAAGTATTCGAAGTTATTCAAAATAGTGATGCTCCAAAATTACTGAACCATTAAATTCACAGAACTATCTTATCGTAATTATATAAAAAGATTGTACTCTATTCAATGAAAAGTACCTGACCGGTAAGTTGGTCTATTTTCCTAGCCAGGACGATCTGAGAGATCGGGAACTTTAAGATTTATAATGCTCTGATTATGCATGGAATTGTCAGTAACGTCGAAGCCATTTGATATATGGCTTAATTATTTTTTAATATGGATTATGGTTTTACCAACAAATAGAGCTACATTAGTTAGTTTCCCACAATACTTCCTAAACAGGATTTAGCAGGTGCTCCTCTGAGCCTCAAGCCTGGTATTGACAACCTGTAAAGGTTTGGAATTTGTAGAAAAGAGCATTTGGTAAAATTTAAAGTCAATCTCTACGCAACCTAATAGATTTACTCTGCTAATGTTACCTTCCTTGCACTTTTAATTAATTGTAAGCTCCTTCCAGACATTCGCATTTTAGAATATTCATTTTATGACGCCGTTGATCTTGTTCAGCATATGTAAGTCCATTGTTATAAACGCTGCATTAAAAATACTGTTTTTAGTTTCAGGCAATTGAGATTAAACTCACAGTACTCGTAAAGTGAAGTGCATATTCCTGATCAGAATCGATTTAGTCATGTCAGGATGACCGACAATCATCAAGGCTGTGGCGTCCTTATTAGAGTTACAGACAAATTCTTATTTTAATTCTTTATTAGCTAATTTAAGTATTATGCTTTGGGCATTGATATCCTTGGACATCCCTATTCTTGGAATGAAGAAGTCATCTTATACTTTTATATTGTACGACTATACTCTAACATTTAGCTGGTAGGGAAAACATCCGAAATTAATAAAAATATTTGTTTCATTTTATATCGAAAGCATGTGCAATTAATGATACCCTCCGGCGGTTATATGATACCCTTACTCAGTTAACCTGAGTAGTAATTTTCAAATGCCAAATGTATTCTGACAAACTCAGACCATATTTTAAAAATTTATTAGAACGTTATTAATATATATCGATGATGTTAAAACCACTTAGGATTGTCTGCCCTATAAAGTGTTTAATTTGTGTTATATTTTGACTTTTTGTTTGCGGCCATAAATGATCTATGCCAGAGCACGCTATTAACTCACCGCAAACGCGACTCCATCTGTTCCAACAAATAAACAGCAAAATTATAAATATATTTAAGAGATAAAGAATAAAACTTTTAGCGTTAGCAGATTATCAGGAAATCTGCGATCGAATTTGCCCCGCCACTTTATTATCGTTATACCAGAATTTAGCAGAGCTTTTCGGCAGCACAGGAAAGCTGTTTGTTTTGGGGAAAAGATAACTGGGAAAGCGACAAGGGGGACTCTGGGGAACCTCTATTAATGTGAACGCCCACAACGTCCGTAAAGTGCTTTATATTACGCCACGAATTGCATAATTTCGTTGCCATTTTTATTTGAGACGCAGTGCGATGCTCCCGTCAGGACAGGGGGCGATTCCAGGCACTGTCCGACCATATCCCCTATTATGTCCCATCTTCTCCTCTTTCCCTCTTTCATTGACATTGACGTTAGACAGGCGGATGGGATATATATACTACTAACGCAAGCCAAACTACATTGGATGAGAGTAACATGAACACTGAGGGAAAAACATCATTTAAATTCAGGAGCAAAGTCCTTGGTCCCCAGCCCACACAAAGGATGCATCGGGAACGGGACCTGCGTAATATGTACATGGAAAAGAATGTAATGTCTCTGAACTGTCAGCTCTTTTAGAATGCTTCAGTTCCAGTCCACGATTCAATGGCAGTGAAAACGCACTTGGGATGAAGTATCGGTAGACGGAAAAATGGTACAAATACTTTCAAATCCTCGATTTAAGTTATAGGCACAGACTTTTCTTAGATGAGGAGTAAATGTATTACTGGTATTTAATGGTTACAAACTGGAAACGTGTGTAATCTATTAGATCGAGTATCTGCAACTACTCGTATAGTTGAACAGGATTTATTGACGAGTCTATTTAGGGCTGAGACTTCGGTAACTATAAGAGCTAGAAGTTGGGAGAAATTCTTATACCTGTTAAGCAGCTTTCAACGAATACATTATTCCCTACCTTACTTATACTAATGGAAGGTTTCACTCTTAGCAGCAGGAAATATAAGTATATAAGCCTAATATTATAAGAATTGGAGATTCACTCTAAAATTTTTGAACAGTTATATTGAAATTGGCTATAAAGGGTGACCCAACTATCGGGACATATATCGATATCTCGACATAGCGGTTTATCTTCCATTTTCTGCTCTATAGTGCCTTCGATATCGCAGCAGCTTTATGGTTTTTGACTGTTTATTCCAAAGTTTTCAAGAAAGGGTTCAATTCCCAATACGGGAAATATTAGCTCACTGAAAGCCCATGTAAAACAAGTTATTAATATAAATCAAGAGATGACGTAATTGTGCAAATCATAGAAATAGATGTACAGCAGCTAGGTAGAAACTTATGCAAAAGTATCGATATTTACTTTTCCCAAAATATACTCGTATACACACAAAAATTATTCAAAGTCTTTAAGGTTAAGATTGAATTGTTATTTTTTTTTAATTCTTAAAGTTGGTTTAAATAATACAAATTAATTACATATAAGCCCTTTTATTGTAAAGTTTTTAGGGACAAATAATATTACAATTTTATTCATACCGAATGGGTGGGTGGGCTACAGTCTTGTCCGAATGAGCAGCACCCTAGTGCCCGGCAGAGCGCTCGAATATTTTCGATGGGGTCATAACAGGCAGGAGGATACCGTAGATGGACAGAATGACTATACGTGTGACAGTAACGCCAAATCACGTTCTCGCCCATTAGGAGCCGGGTGCTTATGTCCGAGCCGGCATGCATGTCGCAGATTCCACCTGACAGATTTAATGAGTTCAAAAATCCGGTTTCGTATTGTGCTCCGATTGGTATTATTCTTATTATTTCCGCAGTTGACTGTTCCATTCAGGAGGATATATTTCTAAATTTGTTGTCGTATCAGCTATCAGCTATCGAATTGCTTTAGGCATTTTAATAGGGATTAAATCACAAATTCGTAGTTAGGAGTTTAAGTATATGGTAGTCGAAATTGCCTTTAGATTTTCTTAAATTTAAGGATTTCCATTTTTTATTGAGTTTGATAAATACGTTTTGGTTATTCATGGGTACTTAACCATATTAATCCGTTAATAACATATTTATCGTGGCACTCGGTTTTAGCGATCTTTGTTGTTACACATTTCACTCGTTACCATTATTTTTAACAAATGCAAAGTCAGTTAGAAAACTTTTTGCAGCCGAAAATATCAAAGGCAATCTGAAACTTTCATAAAAATCGAACTTACTTTCTTAACTAAATTCGAAATTATTTTGCTTACTGGTTATGACTAATGTCACTGCCCATGTAAGACCTTATACCTTATGATGAATTGTTATCTTAATGGATATCAAATCAGACGGAGAACATTTTCCTCATTACAGCAGTACAATTTCACAGAAGAACGACGGGACGACGATCGGATAAAATTCGAACGAATTTAAATAAATCATTTTGTTAAATTATGTACTGAAACGTAAGCAAAAACCTCACATTAATATAACTACATATTTGGTTTCAATAAAGTTAATAGTGAAATCGTTATAATGAAGGGCAGTGGGCTTTAAAATATAAACTCAACTCCATTTACTTAAAAAGTTGTATTTAAAACAATTACAGTTAAGAGCTGGCGATTTCCATTAATTATTTCCAGGAAAATTACTTATTAATAACAGAGTGTATCATTTATCAATTTTAAATAACATGTTAACGCTGATTACATTTACAATATAACAAGGTACTGTATAGAAGGATTCCCTGCGTTCTAAACTTCTGACACCTCTCTAAGAGTTTGGTACAAAACTTGTAAATGCAACAAAAACACCACTATCTAGTCACACAGGGAACATGAAGGATAATATAAAATCATACAATATCTGAAGTTTCCACATAATGATCTTGTTCAATGTCCCTTGTACATCTATTAAGTAAGTCTAAAGGGCCACCCAGTCGAAGTATGTTATTGATCAAATATATTTGATCTTATTTACTTCCGAACTCAGCACTCATTCCTTACTAGTCATAGTCTGCCCAAATTGTTCCCCACAAACATATTTCGTCTGTTTCCCAGATGAATTCACTTATTTTTTATCTTGTGTGATAAATTGTGTAAAAGTCCGGCAGATGGTACGAATTTAATGCCGCTGTCTTGTGAATAAGTTACACAAGGCGATCGGCTAACCAGATCCCAGAGCGCCGTACCAGAGATAAGACGGATACCTTCTATTGCGGAATGGATGACCCAGAAGCGGAGGACCTGCTAGCCTTCGAGCGCCGGCTGGCGGAGGTGGTAACCACGGAGAAGTCGAGCTCCTTCCGCTGGCGCCTAGTCCTAGGCGCCATCTTCGCCTGTTCGGCAATCAGTGCCTGCCACTTGTTGCGGGATACCAAGGAGAGCGAGTTTCTCGTGATTAGAATCCTGTCCAGTCACAGCGCCTTCGCGTTCTCCCTTGCCACAATTTGCCTGCTGCTTCTGTACGGGATTAAGCAGTCCACCAAGCAGGACCCATCCATTCTGCGGGATACCCGGGAGATCCTCTCACCCTTCCGGCTGAACTGCGACAACCAGGGCCGTCTTATCCCACTCCAACCGCATACCAACTAGCTGGACAAACATATCACTAACACGCATAAATTAACACATTGTTGAAATAGTTATCAGTCTAATAGGCGAAATTAAATTGAAAATGGAAATAATATAATAATTCCTCCATTGTCCATTGTAAATGCACACTCTTTATCCTCCGAGTCCAGGCTTCAAGAAAGATCATAGCCTACGAGGTTAGTGGAGCAGTACTGGTCTCTCATCCATTCCCTTCCTGCAGTAAACAGATGCAAATATTTTAATGGAAGAATTCTTTAAATTTCATTCAATAAAAAGATAAACTTGAACATAAATGCAGTATTTCTGGTTAATAATACTAGAAAAACTAAGAAAATCAGGTATGCGAATAGATAAAATCGTGATCATCGCAGCTTAATTAAACAAAATTTGTTTATAAAAATATGTGACTTAAACTGATTTCCCATTAGACTACATGTATATGAACAAAAATGTTTGTATTATACCCGTTACTCGTAGAGTAGATACGTTGAAAAGAATGTAACAGATAGAAGGAAGCGTTTCCGACCCTATAAAGTATATATATTCTTGATCAGGGTCAATATCGAAGTCGATTGAGCCATGTCCGGCTGTCCGTCTGTCCGTCCGTCTGTCCGTCCGTCCGTCCGTATGAACGCTGAGATCTCAGGAACTATAGCAGATACAAAGTTGAGATTAACCATGAAGATTCTCGAGGTCCCGGGACAGCGCAAGTTTATTTCAGCATCCTGCCACGCCCACAAATCGCGAAAAACTAAAATCGCTAAAATCTCGGGAACTATTAGAGCTAGAAAGTTGAAATTCAGTAGGTATAAACGTTGGATGCCAGCGCATCTTTTAGTGGTACTATTATCTGGCCACACCCACTCATACGCCCACCAAGCTCAAAAGACGATTTTCACATTTTCAAGAAAACCTGATATCTCGGTAACTATAAGTGATAGAAAGTTCGGATTAAGCATGTAAATTTTTATGATTCACCAAATGAGAATTGTTTTTTTCCATCTAGCCACGCCCACCCTAACGCCCACAAAACCCAAAAAACCAAAAATGCAAAAATCTCGGGAACTAAAAGTGCTAGATAGTTGGGCTTAAGCATACGTATTTTAAGGATGCCGCTGCAACTTCTCACTACTTTTTATCCGGCCACGTCCACTCTTATCCGGCCACGCCTAACTTATTTATGTTTATATCTATCGACTTACCAAAGATTTTTCAAATCGGAACATTATTTCGCTACTTATGAAGAAATTTAGGTTATAAAGCCTCACATGGACAGTGACATCACTATCAGTTACTCAACATGCTTTCTCCGACAATAGGTGGCGTTTGGGTAATTTCCACTAGCAAAATTAATATTTTAAAATTGTGTGAAACAGTAACGGGTATCTTATAGTCGCGGCACACGACTATAGCGTTTACTCTTGTTTTATTTTTTTATTCACCGGAATCTGTAAATGCCTGGAAACCTGGAATACCTTCTGAACTTAACCTAACGTAAATAACGGGAAACAGCTTTATGGGAACATGGAAACCCTTAAAAAAAACCAAAATGTTACCTTAACGGCGCTCAATACGCTCCTGGCGAGTTACACAGCATCGGTTGTGCCGAAAAGCTGGCACTGCAGACTTCAGTTCTGTAAGAGTCTGTGAGCAACGTTGGATTTTGTGGACTGTTTTTTCGATTTCAGTGGTATAGGGCATCAGGAGTTCATTACGGTAAGCACGAAGTATTATCTTGAGGTTATGTCCATTCGTCCGATGATCGTGAATGAATAATTCATGGCTTTTGCATCACGATAATGCACCTCCTCACTCTTAATATCGTATTTCTTAGCCAAACACAACAACATCGTTATCATACTCCAGACACCGTATTCACAAGTTTCAGCCCTCTGAAACTTTTCCCTGATCCCAAGACTGAACAAGTAGAAAGACTATAGTCGAGTGCCGCGCATTTATTGGGTTTTCGGGTTTTGTGGGCGTTAAAGTGGGCGTGGCTTGATCGGAAAAGAACAATTCGCATGGGAGGCATCATAAAAACCTACATGCTTAATCCGTACTTTCTATTCCTTATAGTTACTAAGATAACAGCTTTTCTAGAAAATGCGAAAACCGGCATCCCAAGATTCTACATACTGAATTTCAACTATCTAGCTCTAATAGTTCCCGAGACTTAAGCGATTAAGTGGGCGTGGCAGGATACAGGCAGGAATAAACTTGCGCTGCGTATGGACGTCAAGAATCTTAATGCTTGATCTAAACTTCCTATCTCTTATAGTTCCTGATATCTCAGCATTCATACGGACAGACGGACGGACAGACAGACGGCTCAATCGACTTCGCTAATGATCCTGATCAAGAATATATATACTTTATAGGGTCGGAAACGCTTTCTTCTATATGTTACATACTTTTCAACGAATCTAGTATACCCTTTTACTCTATGAGTAACGGGTATAATAACACATTGACATCAAGGTGTATTGTATTATTAAAATTCCTGCCAAAACATTTCAAAAACAATCGATTATACCGCTATCGATAGCTTAGCAGCACTATGTTAAATTTGATCAAATGCCGAAAAAAGGGCTAAAGTTCAAAGACAAAATGTTGACAAATACTACACCGCTCGTTGACGAAGCTGCAATACCCCTTCTACATACTTCTACATATGTATGTTCATGCTTGTATGTAGTTGCTTTCAGTATCTGTTATCCGGCTGCAGCAGCGATAAAAAATAACAGTTCAGCAAAACGCCGGCAGTGCAGGGGGAAGGCTGGGAGGCAGAGTGCGTTGCACGCACTTGCGGAGATTACGATTACGTATTCAGGAATGCATGGAGTTTAAAAAGTTTCAAGCCCATGAGCCACAATGGCCACGTCTCATCCAGCTTGACATTTATTATCTGGCGCTGCGGCTTCTCGTCTTCCATTTTTTACGCTCTTTACACAATAGGAAGGAGTATTATCCTTTTTCAAGTCCTTTGATACATCCTTTGGTACATACGTATGTGTGTACGCATTTATGTCGCAATCTTCGAAATACATTGTTCAGTAATAACGAAAGCGTACCTTATAGTTCCTGAAATTTCATTTTCAAGTATGGGTCTATATTAGTAGATATATGTAGATATGCTGTGTAATAAGAGATTAAGTCATGTACATAGATTTCGATTTGAGGGTTACTTTTAGTTATATACTTAATTGCTTTCAATGTTTCTGTCTATTAGGTGTGACTTTGCACAGGCTCGTCAAGTCGAGATGGCTACCCTAAAATTTCCCTTACCGAACCGGAGTAAGTGAGTGAAAATGTGAACCGGAGCTCTCATGCGGTCCATGGCTGTCTGCGGTCGCCGGACGGAGGCATTTGCATGCCAGTTGGTTGGCCAACCGACGTGTCGTGTGCAAAGGAAGGAAAGCAAAAGCGGTACTGCATATACAGAACCGACATTGGCCTTTTGATTTCGCCAGAAAGATTCGGGGAACTCGCTTTTTACCGAGTCCGCACACGTTTCTGGGAAATATGCATTTTTAGCTAAATGTTTTGTAAATGTTTCCGCCCACAACTTTATAATTAGTTGAAGCTCTGACAACGTGAGCGGAAGCGGAAAAGTGGGATCCGAGAAAGCCCAGCGGAAATTATATAAGTTGAGCGGATTGCCCCAAGCGATACGACAGTGCCACTGAAACGGGGCGTCCGGAAAGGAGGCTCACAAAAGGCTCGGGTGATAAGAGGGACACGTTCTTGGGAGGTGTTCATTTTCGACTTCTGTTCGTTTGCTGCACAGAAATACGGTATCTTATGGTACTATTGTACTATATATTGTGTATATATGTTTTGAATTTATTTATATACATAAATATTTTCGTTAAATCGTTTGGGAAAAGCTAATGTTCTTATGAGTATTCAAATGTTTTCCCGTTCGATAATATTATATATAACTTGGTTTTTATCCAAAACAACGTAAAAAGTATAAGGCTTTTTATAAAGTTTATTCTAAATATGATCAAGCCAAAATTGCCAGTCCATATGGATATATGACCTTTCTGAATCGTTATAACTTATTTGAATTGTATTTATTTTTTCAATTTACCTACTTTAATAAATTAATCAATTAACGCCATTTTCTAAAATTATTCAAAAAGTAAGGATGTAAGGTGAGGTAAGGTCAACGTCATTTGATAAATATTTTATTTGTTTTTCTTTTTGTTTGTTTTTTTATCATTAAATTACCTAAGGTATCCAAGGCTGGTTATATCCAACGACATTCAAAAGAATGATCGTGGAAACTCGGGACCTATAAAATCTAAAGATTAAACAAGCATATTCTATTAAGCAACCAAAAAGTGCTTTAAAAGTTAAAAGTTACTCACACTTTTACGGTCACAATTCGGGTCGCAGCATATGTTACTCTTAATTTGGAAACTTCTTAAATATTCAATACTATAAGGCCTTACGTGGGCAGTTTTATCACCGAAAAATTATAAATATTTTTAAATGTATTTTCATACAAAGTTCAATTCGTATATCCCCAAACGAACTTGAATTTGGAGTAGAACATTATGTAATCAAATACATTGAAGCTATAATATTGTTCAATTGACATCTTTATGATTAGTAATCTTATTTTAAAAGCATTTAAGGTCCTATAAATCGACTGAGTAATTATATACATAGATGATATGATTAAGCTGCAAGGTTTACTGGTATACACGTTGAATTGCCGAAGTGAGCTTTCTTTCTTGCTTCTAATTCAAGTCGGAAAAAATCTGTATAAATATATTAATATATTAATATATTATATTTATATATTAATTAAACTATTATATTAAATAAAGAAATTTTATGTATTTAATATATTTTAAATTATTTTAAAATACTTTACTGGCTGAAGGGCCCAATTACGCAAAAAAAATCAAATGAGCTTATATATTCTGAATTCAGATTTGAAAAATCTACAACATGGTTATAGACACTCACTGATACTCTTTGAGATTTTTTTTTGCAAAGTTCAATTTTTTTTCGAAAAGTGACAAGGGGACACCACTTGCTAAATATACAAATTGTTAGAAAAATACGAACGAAACACACAACGTATAAGTATAC